TATGAGAGACACATTGATCAGACAAATAACTAGTTCAAATTAAATCAAATTACATTAACTGAGTTCATAATTTGCATTATTGGCATTAATCAGTCTGAGCTGACAGACTGGCCTCTTGCTGATCAGTGCAATAAATGTGCACATGACCCCTTTCATATGAACTATAATTTCCTGGAGAGCAGCCATCCATTATCACTGTCTGATAGATGGTAATGAGGAAGTGTTGAGGGATGCAGAGCCACTGAACAGAAGATCCCCAGATGATTGATTTACAGCCACAGAAAGTGTTAAAGTTGCCGACCTACAGCTCATTGTACCTACAGGTATTCAGTGTCGCTGCACAATTGCCCTTCCTTCAGGAACTTTCATTGGTCAGTGGGGAGCATTTTTACCTCATACAGTAAATGTTTTCATCCTTACCATAAAACTATATAACTCTTGCCTCACTGCCTTCGCTCTCATATTGACTTGGTGCAGACTATTTGCCCAGTGGTCCTTCTGATGAAACAATTCACTGACAAGCCATTAGGACCTGCACACACAATTTTCAACTGTGACTTTGTTCACCATTACCTATGCGATTACTTCTTATCTGATAGAATAAAATGTCACACAGAAGCACAATGCAGAGGCATTTTCTTCCGATTATGACTTTAGTATCATTGCTGGTTATCACATTATTTCCTGCTGTGAATCTCATAAACATGACTTTGGCATTTCATAATAACAAGAAAATTATCTCACAGCGTTATCTCATATTTATAAAAAATGCCGTCTTGTAATTATGAGAATAGGATCTGTCAGTTTTCAGTGTTGTCTATACAGAATGTACTTTTGACATGAACAGTCCCAGTGATTTCTGATTCCTGTACAACATGACTGTTTACTTTATAATGACAATTAAATTTTTTTCTTCCCAGCTTTTTCTGTGAGAGATGGTGCCCTGTGTGCTTCTGAGCACCCTTCAGGACTTATATTAATATATTATATAATATTTTAATCAAAATCTGATGACAGTTGTGGGACGTTTGCTCATGTTGCCTCTTTTATTAGCACTGGTAATCAAATTTGATAAAACCGCATCACACACAGTCCTGATGGAGCAGATTAGCTACTGATTAAATAAAATAAAATAATAAAATAATATGCAAGGATGTTTTTGTTTTCTCCAAGCTTTGATTGTTGCACATTGAATCATAAATATTTGAGCTTATAGAGAAACAGAAGGATACAATTTCAGACTTCCACAAACCAGGGAAAAAATATTAAGAAGTTATGTCAAAGAGTGAAATGGCGATGGCGGTTCATAGGTGTCTTTTATTAACATGCTTTTTTCTCATAATCTGTGCTTTTAATATGCTATAATTCTATATTGTTTTATTCTTTGCTTAAAGAAACATTCTTGATAAGTTGATAAGTTTCATATTACTGGCAGCTTGTCCAGGGTGTACCCTGCCTCTCGCCCAGTGTTAGCTGAAATTGGCTCCAGTCCCCGACAACCCTGCACAGATAAGCGGATATAGATGATGGATGGAAGTTTCATATTGCTTTACATTTCACACATACACATTTCAGCCTGGATTACAAATGAACTCCGGCCAAAAATGCAACAATATAGTATTTCCACCCTTGGATTATATGCTCATGATTTTCAAAGATCATTGTTAACAATGTACCTTCGTCCTTTATGGCATCTCTGCATTACAGACTATCACAGGATGAAAACAAACAGAGAAGATGTCAGAAAGAGGGTGTAACAAAGTATGAAATCCTCCAAACATTGTCTTTGCATATCTAGGCATCCTGCATCAGCAGGACAGAGCAGGAGGTTTTTTTCTGCCCACGTTAGAGTTAGTGCATGACACAGGGCAACCGTACAGAGTGGAGCAGTGGCCTTTTGGGAAAAGAGACACCAAGATCACTGAAAGTAACTTAAAACCTGAGACTGCGTCAGAGATAGGAAGCAGATGGGATGGCAGCGAGAGTTGAAAGGAGTTTCAAAGAGCAAAAGGCATACTGATATGCAACAGTGGCATGGTGATCTGAACCTCATTAAGACACGTTCTTTTATCATGAGAATAAAACATGCCATCATTAAAATGTAGGCGTTGTTGAAATCGTCTCTTTGGTACACGGAAGTGTAGGTGTGCGAGAAGGGGACGGGAGGAGGAGGCGTGACACTAATATTGTCAAAGTTATTCCCAGTTCAGTGGTGGACTGTCTGATAAAACAGGTCAAACTTGATTTTTAATTTTGCGCTGCGCTCATGGACCTATGATAAGCTCAAATTGGTGTCACGAAACAGGAAGCTAAACTGGCTCTCTGCTTTTCCTTAGATGACCGGAATCATTTGAAGACAAAAAAGGAAGCATGCTGAAGAGTGAGAGGAGATAGGGAAACGAACAAAAGATGTTGTGTGCGTTTGTGTGTGTGTATGACAGAGAAAAGAGACAGTGAAGAGAGTTTTAAATGTGTGTGTGGTATGCACATGTGTGTGTGTGTGTATGTGTACGTGTGTGCAGGAGGATGGAGAGTGATTTTGATGAATGTGTCCTGACGGATGGTGTAACCCCCCTAAGCCTGCCTCCACTTCCTCTCCAGCCCTCCTGTCACGGCTGGATATCGAGGTCAAACCACCTTTCATATCTGTTCCACACTGCAAGGACACAATACAAAAAGAAGTAAACAGCTCAACCCCTGGGAATGCTGCTGCTTTCTCATTTTTTACTCAGTTAGTCAACAATTTCTCAAAAAAGTGCCTAAGTGCTTGATGATTTCTTTCTTTGTAAGTCAAAAATGATCAGATTAAAAAATTTAAAAAATAATCTTGGAAATATTTAGTATCTTCATTTCAGTTAGAGTTAAATTACATTAGCACACAGCTCCATGCACAAGTTATGGTAAGTTATGGAAATGTGAAAGGATGACCTTCAATTATACCCTGCATATGAGGCCAGGTTTTTAAAAATGCAGCTTCAAAGTGCACCAATCCTTCAAGTTTGATCAAAATTACACCAGTGTCGCCTGTGATCTTGACTTTAATCACAGTCTGCTGAGATGTCACTGAGATGCCACCTACGTTTCAAGTCTGACAGACACAACCCGATCTACAGATTCTCCCGTCCTCACCCATCTTTCATCTCAACGGGGGAAACACTGATCAGAAACAGGATGGAGGTGGGAGGTCAACAACACTGAAGCACTGGCTCAGGGTTTCAGTTAACAGGCTTTCATCTCAATGTCATTGAATCTAATTCCCTTGGCAGCTATGTGAATTTAGGGGGAAAAAACACATTGTCTTAATTTCTGGAAAACAGCATTGTCTTTAGAGTTACAGCAAATGTATATGTCTATATCTATATTACATTTCCTTCCCTGCCTGAGTTATGTGATATGGGTTTGCAGTGGCAGATTGGCCGTTGGGAGAGTCGGGGGATTTCCCGGATTTCCCATCAACTTGACCAGTGGCAGCTATATTTTAGCAAGCTTCTTCTTATAATCCTAATCCAGCAAGTAGGAGAACCGGCGCAACCACCATATCCTCTCTCTCCACAAGCAGAGGTAGCATGGTGCATGAGGTTTTGTTCTGTTTTTTGACCGGTGTCAACTTCCACTAGGAGCCCCTCAGCATTTCAGCAGCTGAGCGTTCAGCCTGTCCCACGTTAATGACTTGTTTTTATTTTGTCCTTTTGTGCTTCCACTACCTTCTTCACAGCTCTCTCTGTGGTCCACTTTTGTTCCGTCATCACACAGGGAGCATTTCAGAAAAAGTCTGCCTGATTTTGCTGACATTTTGTTGATTTGGTGATTAGTGCTTGCTTTATGCGCGTCTACATATGATTAAATAGGCTATGTAGTTATCTTTTATCTTTTTCTTAACTGTGTTTATTGTTTAGATGTGATTGGCAGTCTGCACAGGGTATTTTATTTTGAAAATTGACAGGATTCTCCTCCGTTTTATGTCTGACTTCCTGCCCAGTTCATGTTCTCTGGGCTGTTTGACTGAAAATACACTGGCTATGATTCACTCTGGAGCAGAGCGGAGAGACACTTCTGGGACGCACTGCTTCTGGTCTGAGCACAGACTAGAATGGCTGTTTTGTGTCTAGCCTTGTACATTTGTATGTGCTATGGTTAGTGTAGCTAGCCTAGGCTATTTCTCTGGAATTTTTGAGGGTGCACCCATAGCCTGAGAATACCTTGAAAACTCAATATTCACATAGGCTACTTTAGTGATCAGTCCCAAAAGCCATGGCACATGGCAAAGACTTTACCTGGATTGGTACCTGTTACATCAACAAATAGGGTTAGTCCCCAAAAATTAGTGGTTTGGTGGTTTGTGTGAACAAGTTGGCCTGGGGTCAAGCCAAATTCCCAGCCTGAATTATTGTGCCAGTCCGCCCCTGTGGGTTTGTAAATATTTTCTGCATTTACACGACTTAAACTGTTTTCTGTATATTCTGAATAATTACAGGACCATGAACTTTACAAGGAGATATATTTTGAGACATTATTTGCTCCACTTGTCCCTGTGTTGAGGTGGGGAAGGTAACTAAGTACATGTGCTAGCTTACAATTCAAAAAGGTACTTTACTTGAGTATTTCCATTTCATGCCAATGTATACTTCTACTCCATTACATTTCAGTAGGAGATCTTGTACTTTTTACTCCACCTCATTACAATAGTTAGTCACTTAATTTATAACAACAAAATATGATGCGATATTAAAGATTATACTGCCCAACAGTATGTAAAGTGGTTCAAATTAATTCCACGTCAATCAGCTTCTACATTACAGTTCTGTGTATGCATTAATGCTTCAATAGTCCAATGACGTCCAATTTTGAGTTACGTGTACTTGAGCTTGTCCATTTTATGCAACTTTCCACTTTCATTTCAGAGGGAAATATAGTACATTTAATTAAACATTTTACATTTACAACTTTATGCATTGGTGTAGATTCAATTTCCTAAGCATTAATCGAGTCCACGCAAGAGATTTTCTTAAAACAAATGTAATTTAATAAAACTAAGATATACACAAATGGACAAACTCCTATAGACTGGAACACCCAAGAAGTAGATCAGCTGAAGACCCTCCCATGTTGGCCAATTGCCTGCTGAGGGTCAGCCAGGACGGCCTGCAAGAAAGTGGGAGGGGCATCACAATAAAATCATTAAAAGTAAAACTTTGCTTGTGCATTGATGCTTCAGTATAATAATCTATAAACGTCTGCTTAGGTTAAAGTTAGGTGGCATGTTTTCTGCAGTACTCAGAAAGTGTGACAACAAGCTTGTCAATATTTAAATATGTATTGAAGCGTTTAAATACTAAAATATGAAATAAAATTATTAAATGCTTTTCAAAGCCAAAGTCTAAGCAATTGACTATAGTATATTTATCAGTATGATTACCGCTAGTAACTTCAACAGTAATGAATAAACACAGCATCCAAGAGTAAAAAATTTGCTGCATAAGCTAACAAAGCTAACCAGTGGGGATCTGCCATCACAAACATAACAACAAACAGACAAGACAGTACTGACCTATCATTTGTGTGAAACAGCAACGCTAAGGTTACTCACCTGCACCTCAACCTGCGTGTCGGTTTTCATTTCTTTCAAATCTCTGAGGTTTCTCCAGCATTGAAACGCCTCACCGGTGTTAACATGTTGTGGGGAAGGGAAGGTACACGCCACTTTCTTTTTTTATGATTTAAAGAGCCAGGCTGTGTAGAAAAAAGTGAGACAGAGAGCTAACGAACCGTGACGAAATATTTGCTGATTAAACAAAAAGTGCATTGGATTACAATCGCTTACTCTCCCTTTAAGTATGATTTTGAATGCAGGACAATTATTTGTAATGGTGTATTTAACATTGTTGTATTAGCACTTTTACATAAAAATAATGCACAAACAATTTAGCATTAAGCAAAAATGTATTAAAACTAATGCTGCAGAGCCAGAGATATCATCTCTTTTATTCCACGCATTCTTCTTCCTTGTGAAAAGCTGGCGCTTACATTACCGACAGTTTGGATTCTGGAGTATTCTAATCTAGCTTCAAGCCGCTAGCGGAGTGGGCTACAGAATTTCAAATTCAAATTTAATTCATCAGATTTTAAGCATCCTCCTTTGGGGCCATAAAGGGCTTTAGACAACTTTTTTCCACTGATGCAGTAGTACTCCACAAGACGTATAAACAGAATTTGATGTGTAAAATTGGAGGAATTTCCCTTTAAGTAAAGGCTCTCTACTTCTTTCATCCCTGCCTGTGTATCTCACGTAAATGACAGTGAACGCAGCATAAGGCAATGCATGGATAAACACAAGTTTTTTTTTTAGATGTATTATATTGTTTAAGATTAATTAATTGTTTGTCACGATTTACATTACTATACTGCTGCAAACTGCTTCTTGTGATATTATATATTAGTCTACATAATATAGACAACAAGGGCACCTGAGGTAATTGGCACAGACTTTATTTTTCAACATTATGTATTATAGCTGCAACATGCATCTTTTTGCTCTCAGACAGGGAGTCTACTCTTATTCCTGCTCTTCTCACATCAGTTTCCAAATTCTTTTCACTCATCTCTACTTTTAAAAAAACCTTTAAGCATTGTAGATAGGGGTAAAGTTGCCAGCATCCAAAATGAAAGTCCATTTCAGGCAAATGGTAGGATTGAAACATTTAGTTTGAAATAAATGTGAACGGTGAAGGAGACAGTAGGTTTTGTTATTGTCTGGCAGAAAGACTGATTGCTGTTGGCAGTTAGACAGAGAGTAGTTAATGAGGTATTTTGATATTCACTGGCTTTAAGTAGCCTACTTGCATAAGGGAAGTATCTATATGGTCCTGATATTGGTTCAAAGAAAAAAAAGCTAAATCGGAGTACAGATCAAGAGTATACACCAGCATGAAGAGCAGAGCTGCTTCTTCAGGATTTACCTACACAGTTGTACCACTGTTATCAGCAGGATTGAAACCTCTCTGCCCGAGGAAATATATCAGATGTCTGAACCTGTGGAAGACAGGTCAGTCTAACACGCAGTAGTGTGGATGTAGCCTAAGGAAATGTCCTGGAGGAGAGCACAGCAGCCTCTACTATGCACACCACATAATCACAATGTCCCCAGCTTGAGGCCGCTGGGAACCTCTGTGGCATGTCATACCTCACTCTTTGTTTTTCTGCCAACATTTCCGGACACTCTTTCAGTGTCAAACAGTCAATAGGAGGCAACATGACCCAGAAAACAAGCTTTAAAAAGATGAATGTTCCGTGGTGGGCATGCATGAGAGAAAAGTCACTGCTGAGTATGGGTAAAACGAAAGTTAAACTAAAGGTTAAAATCTTCCAACACTGCAAAGTCTGTCCATTTGTGACACCCATAAACACTAATGTGACCTTCAGGAAGATACCAGAGCACTCTGTTCCTCTCAGCATGACAGCATTTTATTAGGCAAATGATGACACACTTCACTGTTTAAAGGACAGTAGTATACATTCATATCAGGTCATCTGTACAGTACAAAGATAGAGGGATGTGTGGGAGAGGTAATGTATGACATCCAGTTGTGTTGGCCTAGTGGCCTCACGTGTGTGTGGGGTGTGTGTGTGTGTGTGTGTGTGTGTGTAGGCTTTCTGTAGCATCAATTCCTCTAGTCAACAAAAGGCTGCAGCCGTACTGGGTCACTGATTCACTCCTTGAAATCTTTGGTCATTTAGGACAGTCTTGATTCTTTCTTTTCTTTTGTTAGTTCAATAAGAGCTGACTGTGGTCGATGAAGCACAACCCATCAGTCGTTTTGGCCTCAATGAGAAAGGAAAGATCACAGAAAAGAGTTAGAGTTTTGACTCATACAATGACTGCTGATTCTGGTCAAAATTCTTTGATTTTATTCAGTGATTCCAGTGTAAATGGGCTCACTTTTATGCATTTATAGCATTGGGTTTTGTGCCTTTTACATCATGTTTCGCTCCATCAAAGCCTCGGACTGTCTGAGCCTGGATCAAACTGCATAATACTCCATGAGGTGCAAAGCAGGTGTGCTGGAGGAGTCACTAGGGTGGATGCAGTGGGCAAACACTTTAATACTGCATTTTGGCATCATGTAACTTAAACTCCACGCAACACATTCCTTTCATGTCTCAAAACTCTACTTTGAATAAGCTATAAGGCGCTGAAATGACTGCATTTGAGTAGAATTTTCTTGGTTGCACTGTCTGTAAGGCTGCCCTCAGTTTTCATACTCCGTGGAAAGACGGGCACTGGACGCACACGGGGATTTAAGCAGCAAAGATTTCCGTTTCCGTTATGATTCCTCAAGAGAGTTTGTGCCCCCCCCCCCCCCCCCAAGTGGGTGGACATGAGACAAGGACGCTCCTAGTGAAGCCTTCCAGTAAACAACAGCTTGAACTACACTGAACCTTTGAACAAATTAACACAGACTTCACTTGTCATGTAAATAAACACCTACACATCACTTTTTTTCAGAACAGGACAACAACATCACATCTCATATATGACGCAAAGCGGCGGCAGGGTGGCCCGGTGGCTACAGAGACATGCGCCCTGCTGAAGTGTCCATGAGCAAGTCACTTGATCCCTCCCCAGCTGCAAGGGGCGCTGTTCAGGAGCTCAGTACACCCTGACCTGTGGCTCCCTGTGGTAGGGAACTTCTGGTACAAAGGAACTGAAATGAACTATGACATTATTAGCAATACATCCAATTACGCACGGGGAGACACAAAGGTGGAGTCAGTGTAATCCATTGGGTGTGAACGGTGACATCCTATCGAGACTGATATCTGCCTCGCAGTCCTCCAAGTCACAAACCGAGTCGGTGGCGTTTTCATTGTTGTGAGAAAACTGTGAAATCCTGTCAAAAGTCTCTTCCTGCTCAATACATTCAACCACGTTGGGGATCATGTTGACATAGGCGTTCGCGATTTCCTTGTGGATGAGGGTGTCTTGGTTATATGAAACCAGCTCGTTGCTGATGTTAACAGTTTCCACGGGTGTGTTGGAGCAGAAATTACGACAGCCCAAGAGGCTGGCGAAGGCCTTCCTGAACTCGGCGTTGAAGGCGTAAATTATGGGGTTCATGGAGGAGTTGGTCCAGCCGAACCACACGAAGACGTCGAAAGTCGTCTCGCTGACGCATGGCAGACCTGCGTCCCGGTCTGTGGACGGTCTGTCGCAGAACGGGACCATACAGTTTAGGACGAAGAAAGGTAACCAGCAACAAACAAAGACACCCATAATCACCGAAAGAGTTTTGAATACTTTGGTTTCCCGTTTGATCGACGTTTTCAACGTGTTGTGGTGTTGGCACTCTATTCTGTTGGTCCTGCAACTTTGCGCGTGTTCTGCCGCTCTCTCCAGGGAGGCAATCCTTCTAATTTGTATTTGTGCAATCCGATATATTCTGGTGTAAGTCACAATCATAATTGCCACGGGAATGTAGAAACTTATCAGAGAAGAAGATATAGCATACTCTCTGCTCAGGCTGGAGTCGCAGTTTTCCTCCATCTGCCGACTCGTGGAAGAGTTGTGCGTCCCAGCCATTTCGTCATCGCTGGCTTTGTGCCAGTTTAGCTGGACCGGTATGAATGAAATGAGCACAGACAACGTCCAAGTGATGCTAATCATTACAAAGGCAACTCGCTGGGTCATTTTCCTCTCGTAGCGGAAGGGGCTTGAGATGGCCCAGTATCTATCCACGCTGATAATACAGAGGTTGAGGATGGAGGCGGTGGAGCACATAATGTCAAAGGCGACCCAGACGTTACAGAAAGTTCCAAACGGCCAATACCCCGCCACCTCTGCCACAGCTTTCCAGGGCATCACCAGGATGGCCACGAATAAATCCGATAGAGCCAGGGAGACGATGAAAATGTTGGTGACTTTGGTCCGCAGGTGCCGAAAGCGCAGCACCGCGGCGCAAACCAGGATGTTCCCCAGCAAGGTCCACAGGATGAGCAGGGACAGCAGACAGCCCGTCACCGTACGCACGACCATATCCTTCTTCCCGTCGTTAGTTGCCTCCGTTTCGGTGCTGTTCCACATAATCTCTCCGAGGGGTGCCGGTACAGAGTCAATCCCCTGCACCGATGAGAGATACTTGGCTGGGTTCTCCATGTGTCTCTTCAAGTAAAACTGCAGTCCATTGCTCCGTGCGCGGGGACGGGCGCAGTTATGATCCACTCACCATATTGTCCCCGTTGACCCGCTCGGCTGCCAGCCTGATGTGGAGTGCAAAACAGACAGAAAGAGAGGAGTGAGCGCATTAAAATTGAGCCGAGTGACTTGCCAGGTGAGCTGAGGGGCTGAAACGCAGCAAACAGTGGCGGGCGCATGTTGCAGCCTTGCAGGTCCGGTCGTCTGACCTGGTTACCTCTGTGAATATCTCAGTCCAAGATATCCTTAGCGCGGTGTGGGTGAGGAGGGAGTCCCTACAGCCTAAGATACACACACACACACACACACACACACGCCTCCCTTGTGCATGGTGTTACGCACAACAGTGTACTGCGTTATTTAGAAAAGGGGTGTGAGGAAGTCGTCAAAATTTTAAGGGTTTTCCGTCGGTGCAAACTTCAAAGTGTGTCATTCCAAACTCTAAATCTTTCGAGGGCTGTCTAATAATTGTGGCTTGTCTATCCTCTCAGGTATGTATGTGTGTGGACTATATAGACAAGAATATTAAAAAGCAGCTACTGGGTGCATTTGCATTTCATCATGTAGCCTACTCTATAGGTGGCAGACACACCCAACCAAGTTCATTCAAGAGGAGGTGGCCTCACATGCAGTCCAAAGTTATAGCACAGACAGAGCTGTCCATGGTGCTGAAAAAGCAAACAGCCTGGAACATGCTCTATCTATCTATCTGATTTGATTTATACTTCTTTACCAGCACCATAACCTGCTAGACTCCCCTATAACTAAAATTGGAACACCAGTTAAACCACCAAAACCCTTTTTAAACACATTTTCAGACTGATATAAAAAGCCACGTTTATTTGTAATGCATGCGCATTCACGAAAAAAGCCAATGGGTCTTTTTAAATATAGAAAAATCAGTATTTTCTCAGACTCTCTCTGAGTACTGTCGGATTTTTGCCCTCTGACGACCGCCGACTGGAGGTCATAGCTCATCCACTTTTCAGAGTTGCCTGAACAGGTGAGTCACATTCACACTCTCAGCGGGCATGTCAAGCCAGGAGGTCCGCGCGCTCTGTGCACCGTCGTATGTCTGTGCAGCAGCAGCAGCAGCACCGTTTCCGGCTTTGAAACGTCACGGATATTTTTAGATATGTCTGCGTGCCTGTCAAATCGTTCTGACACTACGTCAAAATAATCCCCCGACGCCCGATGCCAAAATCTCTGGAGTAGCCTAACCTATAATCCCTGGATGTCATGACAGGAGGCAACAGGCAACCTGTGTCCGACACAACATTTTCTTTAGATACAGACAGATGTTACCACATCCAGTGAATTAATATGTTGAAAGATGAAAAGTATGATGCCTGTGGACCTGTTTGAGGATAATGTCTAAAATGTAAATGTATGTAGGCCTATCATGTAAAATAAGCCTTTTGTAGTTGCATTTAAAATGAAAATCAAAGAAAAATGATGAATTCAGTTAGCCTACTTTGTGTCAATACATATTATTCTGTGTACTTTTGTTTCCCCCTAAATTGAGTCTTTATGTGTTTCATTCATATTTGTGAAAGAGCAGACATGAATAAAGAAGTGATGGCGCAATAATCCCAGCTGTAGAAGTTTATATAGTGTAAATACGCTTTTGGACTGTCCTATTAAACTCCAAAAAAACACAAATAGGCTACGTGGCGCCATCCTGTGGTGCAAAGGTCTACTACAATTGCTGCCTATTCAGAAGTTCAGCGAAAAAAGCAGAGAGATCCTTAGAGTTAGGAAGTGCAGACAACTTGAGAAGATATAACACAAGAGCAGGTCTTGTATATGAAAAATCATTTATTTCAGTAGGTGAAAGATATACATTCATCACTATTGTACACATAATTTCATATGAGCACCATTTCATTGGAATTTCATAAAATAGTATCATTGTCTGAATGATGATTTTGATATATATTACGATATAATATTGCAGTTTGCACCTAAAAAAACAAGGATTTTACCACAAGTTGGCACATACAGTGGATAGCACCAGGCTGAGAACTTGCTGGAAGTCTTTGATTTGATATAAAATGATACAGTACAAGTATACAGTATATGTGTTTTATATCAAAGAGAAAAATGTAATATCACAGACTGGGATGTTTTTTGTTGCTGACCCTTCAGATGTAAACACACAGTCTCTGGTCCGGGATAGCAGTTGTGATCACAGCAACCTTTGTTCTTCACCAACATATTTTATATTGGTGTAATAATCCTGGAACGATTCTGATATAAGATTCCCACTTTTAACAATATGCACCTGATTTGAACAATATTAAAAGAGTGCCTTTTATGTTAACATGAATTCAATGTAATCACGGTAGAGAAGGGAAGCAGTTTTTGAGAGGAAATGTGTTATCTCACCTCAATGAAATGTGGATACAGATCAAACAAAACAGTGCTACCTAGTAACGTCATTTTGAACACAACTTTCCTTTCAACTTGACAGAACAGAGAATCAGCATACAAAAGGAAACTGTCCTTAAATGACTGAGAGAGGCAGGTGCTACTTCTGAGAACTCTAGTCCAACTCATAAAGATTATTCAAAATATAGTGCTAAGTCACTATCTGTGTTGCTCAAGTGTTGCATACCGTTCCATTAAACTACTTGAAGTAAATGAGAACCATATCCATAAAATATGGGTCAAGTGGTACACCAATGCACTCGTGGCTCTGGTAAATACAGTACTATTACCTTATTAGATATTTGAGACTAATAGGCCATTCAGGGGCTTAGCTGCAGAAATTTGTGAGTAGTCTATTTTATACTTTCAGTTAATAATATGAAACAGTACAAAACTGACTACTAAACAAAAAGGTACAAAGGGCCCCTTTGAAATTCTTAAAACCAAAGGTTCTTCTTACCAACATCTTTAATAAGCCTTGCGTTATACAAGGTAATTCTTCAAGGAACATAGGCTAATAGGTTCGTCTTCCTCTGCAATCCCCATCACTGAGGGATCTTTCGTTTTTGTTTGTCTCCACGGCTTGCTTTCAAGTCTGAACAGTTGACCTGCGCTGTGAGACGCTCTCAGGAGCAGGCGGTGACAAGTGTTCCTGTATGTTATCTGGCATTGTCAGTCACCTGTTATTCTGTCAGACCTGGCGGAACACCTCGAAGAGGCAAGCAACCGAGTGCATGCGGTAGAAAAGGTTCAAAGGAATAGCAAAATTGAGAACTGTGATCCATATGCTGAAGCCAAATGTCTGCTCTTCCAACCCGTTGTCGTATTGTGGCCGGCATCCAAAGGCAGGAAGGATCCACAGCTGAAGGAAAGAAAGAAATTAAATTAGGTAAAGCTGCAATTTTTGGTGCACTTTGGGGCAGTGCAACTAGCTGTACACATAACATTGTCATATTATCACCTTATTAAGCTATTATCGCTAATATGTTAGAAAACAGTTGCCTATTTACACATCTAGAAGATATGGAGCAACATTAGAATTAATGAAGTTGTATTTCCTCATGAATGGAAGTATCTCCCTTAGCTCTACTTTGGTCTCCACCAACTATTGAGGGAATCATCTGCCTCTTTAGCACCTAAATGCTCCACTACATTCAACAGCTAGTTGCAAACTTTGTCCATCTGCAATGGATTTTTAGAGCTTTTTGATGAACCTCAAAAAACATAAAGTTGTGTGCTGTCAAACCAAAACGCAGAGCTGAGGGGAACTTTTGGGTTTGCGATATGTGTCACTACGAGTGACACATATCACGTTACACTACATGGCTTTTTAAAAATGTATTATTATTATTATTATTATCATTTTCAAGTTTCCATCTTATTTTACATTCATTATGGTATTTCCTGTTTTTATGTTCATTCTATGTCTATTTTCATGTGAAGCATTCGGTGCATGTGATTTCTTTATTGTAAAGCACTTCAACTGGCATTTCTTGTATGAAAGGTGCTAGATAAATAAAGTGTATTATTATTATTATTATTATTATTATTACTACTACTACTACACATCATCAATTGATCCATTGTTAATATAAAAGTATTGATTAGGGCAGCTTTAAAACAACATTGTGTAATTTCTGCTTCTGATAAAAAGACAGTAAATGAAAACAACCTTACAGGAGCATTCACTGGAAATTTAGATGAGTAACTCTGGTTAAGGTTCTAATTTTAAGGAAGCACTCAGTTAATAAAAAAAATATATCTTTCAGATAGTTGGTTGCCACTAACGTACTTTACCCTAATTTAATCTCATGTACATTCAATTATCATTTTGACAAGCACAAATGCTTACTGAAATGTTGCACATTAGCAGGAAGATGGCAATGTTCTTCAGGATTTGCCTCTTTATTTTTGGGGGCTTCACTACTTTGTTTCCCACAGGCAGCGGCACATCAGGAGGTTTCGTCGGACATGTGTACACCTGTCCGCTCTCCTCCTGCTTGTTCTCTATGGTCACACAGGCCATGTCTGGAGTCTCATAGCCTTGGTTGATGATGCCGTTGTATGGTAGGGCCAAAGAGGACGACACCGAGCAGATTTCGGGAGCAGCTGGTAACTCAGGGTCCTTCCTCGCTCCATCTTCTGGCTGTCGATATAGGGACTCTATGATGAAGAGGTTCTGGATGCACTTCTCTAGCACAACAAGCAGAGAGTAGACGAAGTTGGTCCAGCGGTAAGAAGGGCTGCTGTTTGTGCCTAACACAGCCACTATGCTGCACCAGGACATGAGCCAGGAGCCGATAGAGGACCCAAACAGCAGCTCTGTGTCCAGCTGTCTGGACGGATTCTTGGAGGTGTCCAGCGGCATGTTATCCGCTCGGTATATGAGCAGACCTGATAGACTGGCAGAGCACATAAACACCAGCATGACGATGCCATAAATGTAGAACATGGTAATGGCTGACTGACGCGTTTGGAGGGAGTCCTCTAAATGGGTGATGTAGACCACCAGGACTCCAATAGTGCTGCCCAGTGCAAGAAGACCCAGAAGGGGGCCTAAGATGAGGCCCTGGGTTTTGGTGGCCAGCCTTTTATGGTTTGAAGAAAGGTCAATGGTCCGTCCGATGTTCTTCCACATGACGAAGAGCATGGCGGAGACAAAGATGTGGTACTCAATGTTGAAAGGAAAGAGATATTTGAGACTGCTGGAGAACATGGTGCAAGTGCTGGTGGTGCAGTTACAGAGAGGCTCTGAGTTCTCTGCAAAACAAATAAAAACAGATGCAATTTCATAAGAAATCTATTTTTATGCTGCCCTGCGTTACCACTGTTTGTCTATCCACGACAACATCAACAAAGCCATGTATCAGGACATACGTATAAAATAGTAAATATTTCATAGAAGGATACATAGGATTTCACAAGTTCATCAATATGAAAATAGACTCAAAATAGTACATTTCAAGACTGCCTTGTGCAAACATTCGCAGATGGCCTCAAAAAATTTACATAATCTTGAGTAGTTTAAATATGGTATTAATAATCTCATGACCCTTCAGATTTTTTTCAGCCCTTTGTGGGGGTCCTGACCGCAGGTTGGGGAACACTGCTCTACACTATTGCCACTTCAAATCATTTGGATCACCACAGAAGAGAGGAAAAAGCGCACTATATTTCTATGCTCACACTAAATTGAAGGCAAAAGAGTGTCAACATCTGTTCAGATTATTGATAGTATTTATGGTTTGCCTTTCAACCACGAGGCCACCAGGATGGCCCTTTTTAGCCATCTGTTGATTGACTTTGTTTTTAACGCTTTTAGATTTGTGATGAAACTTAACTTTCAGGTTACTGAAAAAGCCAGTACTTTTCTTCTGCACTGCAGATTTAAATGATTTTGATGGCAGAAACCTATAAAATCAAAAATAAGTTTCATGTTTTGTTTGTTAATGAATGCATGGGCTATCTTTTCCAGCACAAAACTCCATTATAACTTTATATCTTACCTCTTGGTGGTCAACATTCATTAGCCATGTTCTGTTGATTTGACTTTGAAATTTCACTCGGAACGCCTGAGCATCTTAGATGCTGATGACAATGCACTTTTTATCCTTGCTCACTCCTCGTCAAGTCCACTACAACACGCTATGGTAATGCTTTTGCCCTCTAGAGATCATCTCAACAAAACCCTGCTGTGTGCCCCCACCCGCACCCCCCAAAGGCCACCACTATGGAACTGCACCCTTTAATTAAAAAGGGAACAACAGTCAGGGAGCAGCCAGCCTCACAGTCAGCCGGATATGAGGAGGAGCAGCCGAATCCCCCAACCCTGGGCTTAGATGTATCAGTTACTGTAATTGCAGCACCCTTGGGAGTAAGCGGCATGGGGACAAAGCCGTCTGAGGTCAAGTGGGGGGTTGCCAGGGAGGGCGGTGGTGGCTGAAGTGTGGGGAAAGGGCTGGGGAGGGGGCCTCAGCACTAGCAACACTGTGCGTCTCTTGAAACCTAATAGAGAGACGTTCAACACAAACAAGACCCACTGGGCTGCCGAGCTAACCTCCCTTCCCCTCGCAAACCCTCCTTTCCTTCCTTTTTCTTTCATCCACTGAAGTGAGCTCTCAAGTGGACTATTGTCGTTTTCTTCCAGGTACAAGCCAGCAATCAACCTCTTGGCCCTTACCTATAGTGAAGTTTTCGTAGCCCAGGGCAGAGAGTCTTCTCATATAGTTGTTCAAGAAGTGCTCAGCCTCTGCCCTCACACCGTTGCACCACAGGAGGAGGTTGGTAAAGACTGCATGGATTACACCAAATCTGAGGGGAACAGTTGAAAAGGTTGATGACCACTCATCAAATAGCAAGTGGCAGTGATATGTACAATTTGTCTTGATGTGCATGTATTCAGATTTTGCACGTTCTTTAGTGGCTGGTGAGATGTTTTATGACTGTGACATCCAAGCATGATTTATGGGTGCAACCAAATTGATTTACAACAACTAAAGTCTTGTTAAGTCATAATATCACGGATTTCACGTATACCTCTCAAATGTTTCAAAGCTCTTGATGACATCCTTGATGTGAAACCAGAGAAAATGCACCTGAACAAAACACAAAAAACTTCATGTAAAAAGCTGTGCAAAACATTATCCAAAACATGGCATATTAAAACATATTTCATAAACAGAAAAATCTACTTAAGAATGATTTAAGTCACTTTATCAAAAGGATTTCCCTTGCCATATGCAGTTACACTCAGATAACAAGGACAATGACAGGATTATATTGTGGCAGCAACTCTGTACTCACCTCAACAACAAAGAGCACATTATTCAAAGAGCTACCTGGTTAAGTGGTGCACAGAAGAGGAAAAAGTGTCTAACACTGCTGAAAGATTATCACAGTATTAAAGCGGGGTTGTAAACGTACCTGTGCTATGGTGTGAGTTGCATGGATGACAGGATATACCCCGATCACAGCCGACAGACAAGTTCGATAGCCAACATAGTACCCGATTCTAAAAGCGTCCATAGTCAATGAAAGGAGTGCAAGAAGGGTCAAACCACCTACCAAGGAAAAAGAAATAAAGATCAAGTTATTATTGCCACCGATGAAAGAAGTTTGCTTTGCTTATATGGTAAAAGGTTTTCTCTAATATGTCAAACAGATTATGTTTTTAGTAGGCTAATTACCGAACATGTGGAAAAGAATTACGTCAATTTGCTATTTTGCGCATTTACTGTTGTAATCTTGCGCGTAATCTTACACACTCGCCTCTTATCCAGCATGTGGTGGCGTGGACGTCTTTCTCGGTCCGCGTGTTCTTCCGTCTGTCCCGCACCAGGATGTACCACATCATCCAGATCAGCTGGAGGATCATGAGGCCGGTGATAAAGGACAGCAGGTGTTCTTGCTTGATAGAGGGACCCTGGGCTAGCATCAACGCCGCCCCGATCAGCAGCACATTGGTACCGTACTGGCCGCTGAGGATCTCTGCGTTCTTCCTCGGATAGTCTGACAAGCTGAGTTTTAGTTTGGAGAACACTTTCTTGTCGGGCTCGGAGCTGGACGACGAGGAGGAACTGTGACAGTGCTTGTTCAGACACATAATGTCCAGGCCGGTGTGTTCCACCATGGTGGAAAAATCGCAGTACCGGGAGAAGTGTACAGTCAAAGTCGCGCGCGCTATAAGTGCATTTGAGGGAGGCCAGGTGCCTGTTGCTACAAGGTGGGAATAGGTACCGTTCCAAACATGCTCATTCAATCTTAAAGGTCCGGCTCAGTGGTCACGCATAGTTTCAATGTCCAGCCTCGCTGAGGATGGACTTAAAAGATGCCATTGTCATCTTGTAACCCCGAAGCTGAAATATCTGGTCGTGTAACAGGCTCGCTGAGTCACTGAAAATGGGAGATTGCGTTTCAGTCTTTGGTAATCCCAGACCCCCCTCCTCTTGAAACTCCCATATGTTACAGAGAAATCACTGGGCTTGCTGTGCCAACCATTCACTGCCTACAGAAGCAAAAAAACACTAAGCACGGAATTATCCACAATAAGAGGGTAAGAAACGAGCTTCGCCCAAATCCACCTTTTCAGCGCAGCTGCCAGGCAGTCTTTCCAAGTCTGCTGAAATCCTCTCAGGGTGGCTATCAGGTGTTAAGCATGCAGGCCTGGATGAGATGAAACGGAAGATGGCATTTCACAAACCTGCGGTTTTTACAGGTTGGAGGAAAGTGACCTGTCCTGACTGGCTTCAAATCCAAGTGCCACCTCCTCAAACCCTTCTGTCCACTTGTGTTTGAGATGTGGTAGTTAAAAGCTTTGCTTTCAAGGTGAAAAAAGAGAAGAAACAGAATACAGTGGTCAAATTCACAATGGCTTTTTATGAGTGGGTGTCAAGAAGAACACTAAGACGATAGGCACTGAGAGCTCTTGTGGATTTGACCATGTAACCCCTGGTTTGGGCGGACGCGTGTAATTAGCATAACAATAGAAGGACGGCTCACATAGGCTAGGTTTGAGAGGTGATTGGTGTGATGTGAAGTCAGGAGGGGATGGAAATGGTATTCACGACCTAATCATTCATTAAAAAAAAACAATAGCATATGGCTCCTTTTTGAAAAACGGTCTAATTAAAAAGTGAAACGCAACTAGTGAAATGAATACACGGAGCACAGTGGCTCCACAATAGCTCCTATTCTGCTTTAGGACTCTTGTCAAGGCCCCAGGACTCCCGAGTCAGCAACTTGGACTCCAAAACACTTTTTAAAAAAACTAAATAAGTGGTTGATAGATGGTTGAAATAGATTGAGGGCAAAGGGTGGTAGCCTAAGTTGTTTAACTCTTAATGTGAGCATCAGCAGCCCTGATTTATACATTTATGTTATAAATGTATGATTTATTAAAAAAAACCAAAACTTTTTACTCAAATAATAATATGCATTGAAGTAAACTACGTAGGAATGTAGGAGGTTATTGGCCATTGAGTAGCTCTCTGATGTTACACAGAGTTCCAGGAGGACAGATGGAAATAGACATGAAACTAAAAACAAGGACAATAAAGCTGAAAGAAAGAGAGATAGAAAGTAAACATAGAATAATCATGAACATACAAGTAGGGCTATTTTGTAGGCTATAGCATAACAGATTTTATATATAATTTGTAGCCACGTGGATGTTTTAGTGTAGGATTACTGACACCTGACTGTCTTTACTGTTCAGAGAGATGGCGTGCATCGTTATGCAACAACGATGCGACACTGAAGTCATTTGTTCTCGATTTTCAAGAAGATAATCATGTTGCACGCAGTCTACAATATAAACACGAGGAGCGTGGGAAGGAAAACAGCGCGCCGTTGCGCACAGGAGCATCTCTGTGTTTTAAGGACCGTTTTACAAAATAAGCTAAGGTTCCCACGGCTACAACACAGCTTCAGTCCTGTCGTTTAATAGATATACATATGTCCTTATAATCCAAACTGCTATTCTATTTATTTCCCTTCAGTAGCACATTTGAGATCTGTTGGTTAACAACGAATTTGGGGAGGATAGGCTATGTTAGCTTCAGGCCTATTTCAACGTTGGGTAACTATATGTTTGTCATTCAACTAAATGAGAGGCCCTTTAGCCTTTTACGAGGAACAATAGCATCATGAGGTTGGGAGATGATCAATTGTTCCACACAAACATCCGCTGAGTAGGCCTATCGATTTCTTGATTACCGTGGGTAAGAGAGTATGATCAATTCGTTATCAGGGCACTTTAATGGGCGATTGATCAAGTCTGGACATTTATGATTGAATCTGGAAGTGTTCAATTAGCTCGTTGTTGTTTGCACTTCAGGAATATCTCCAAAACATCCTGATTGATTTTCAGTGCAGTTTGAGGACAAATCACTAACTGTGCAAGTCACCGTAAAAAGCCTTGTCCTCATCTTTAATAACAAATGTTTTTAAAATAAATCAATTACAGGCACTTCTTCCTAAGGATATTTCCATTTTATGCTAATTTGTACTTCACTGCATTTCAGAGGGAAACATTAGGACTTTTCACTCCACCAGATTGAATTGACAACACTAGTTACTTTGAATATTTACTAATACCTATAGTCATCTTTTAAAATATAATACAATAAGTAAAGATCCCAACAAATTGGGTCACTTTAAAATAATAATAATACACTTTATTTAAAGAGCAAGTCCTAACATCTGCAGCTTCACAGAGACACAGAAAGATGAAATTAAATACCAGGTGAATAATAAAATACATTCCCCTCCAAAGGTATTGGAACAGTGAAAATAAAAATCAATGAAACAAACAGGCAGCTCAGATAAAGTCAGGATATGCTTTCAGATAAAAGTGTAATTTCACAAAAGACTTAAAAGACGACACTGACTCAGACAGCGTCATTTCCTCGGGCAAGTCGTGCCTTGGTGGCAAAAGCTCTGTCCCCTTCTGATTTTAGCCTGGACTCAGGACGAGAAGGCGACCCCTGCCCGAAAATCTCAAACAACCCAAAATTTCATAAAGGATTAAACGTAATGGTACCTCTTGGTTAAGCTGAGTAGCAGAGTTCTGTACAATCTGCAGTCCAGTTTTTACATCTTATTTTTCTAATATTTCTGAAGTGATAAAAACAGGACTGGACAAGCTCAGTGATACATTGTTCAAAACTTAAATTGCTATCAAACAAGAAACAAAGATTTTTTGCAACAGGCTCGATATGTCGTGACATGTGACCAATGGATGGCAGTATCTTAGGATTACTGCTTTCTTACAATTGAGCTGGAAAATGCTTTATTGATATTCATGTTTCTTAGGTTAGCCAGGCAGTCCTGTAAGGAACTCATACTGAGGTCAGCGGGCTTAACAGGGAGGCACAATGTTATATATACGCAACAGTGAAAAGGAATACCATGTCTGCGGATCACATCGCCCAAGGGAGCATAGGGAGAACAAAATCGGTCCAAGAATTGACCTTTCAGGCACACCATACAGTAACGATATGGGGTAAATGATATCAGTTACTACTGTGTGTATTGATGCATCCTTGTGTAATGATCCTATAACATAAAACATATCTAACATTCTGCATGATTACCTCTGATACTTAAAACATAAATCTGTGCTTTTACATAAAAATCTTAGTGCAGGACTTTCACTTGATGTTCACAACAACAAAATCTGAATACGTCATCCACCACGGACATTAAGTACACTGATCTATTACCAACACACTGGAGAAATATAGTGCATGAAGAAACAAACAGACAGGAACAATGTAAGAAGCTTAAATTTTCCAGTTTTATGTCAAACATCTGTTTTCTATGTGTACTGAGGATTAAAAAACACATAATAAAGCACCCTTAGTGAAAACAGGCTCTCAAAATCCAGTAAATGAGGTTCACAAAGTTCAGATAATTGTAATATAACAATATCATACTGAGCAAAGAATTATAATGACTTTTAAATAAAAGTTTCCTTCTTATTGGTGTAAACTAATCCTGCAGCTGACCTGAGTGTTGTTGTTGTTGTGGATAACATTATATTGAGAGGCGCTTGTGCCATGTGTGTGAATGAGAGTGGGGAAAAAAAATCAAAACGATATAATAAGAAACACCACAAATATAGAAGACAGTCAGTGTTACCAGTGACTTCAAAAAATAAACATACACCTGCATCAACATCTCTCTGACAGTGTCAAAAAAAAGAGCCTGAGCATTATCAGACTCAAAATAACATTTGCGTTGGACTGCATTAGATTTGACTGTGTATTAACTGGTTACCAGTTAAATGTGGTGTTGATAATGTACAACAGGTCAGAGAGTGGAAAACAAAATTAAAAAATGAAATGCTGTCTTTCATTTTGGTCACAAATACGCTTTTAATAAAGTCTCAGGTCCAACTTTGTATCTTGCACCGTTGCGGTTTTTGAATGATGTATTTGTTCAAGGTTGTGCTTTATTAAACAATGCCAATTTTTGTAAATAGTGAAATAATTATAAAAAGTTTATTGCAGAAAAAGACATTACAGGATATGACTCTTGACATTCTTCGCCACAAACTTAAAAAACATACAAATTAAAAAACAATTTATTGGTTTTAACATACAAGCACAACATGCATTTTTCACAGGATTTTTTAACATGTCACAATAGGAAAAGCACAGGTGTAAATAAAAAAATAAAGAACAATGGTTGAATTCCATTTAGGTGTTTGCATTTCAGGGTCCTGGTTTTGTGCATGCTGGCTCACTGTCATGGCTTACTGAAACATTTAAATAGATCACAGCCATTGTTACTGTTATTAGTAACACTTGTTATTAAGTACGGCTTTCTTCCTACCACAACAAGCCAAACACGTCTGCTGTGAAAAAGGGCTACGCTCAAAACTCTAAATTACATTTTGACTGCAAAAAAGAAGTTCGCCAAACACAACACAATGCATCCCATTTCTTGACAAAGATGCCATTGTTTCTTTGGGAAAACACAGCAATGACGAGTCATAAACTGGGAAGTTGAACAACTGAGTGATCCTACAATCCTGACCTAAAAAGCCTTAAAGCCATCACTACAGACGGACAACAGTTGACTGATAATTGTTTCAATAGTAGGGTCTACATCAATCTGCTGCAGGTGTAGACAGGCAAAAAAGGTGTGAGACACAGAGCAGGGAGAGGATGACAGGGGCAAACGAGCGTGAGCAACGAGGCAGATCCTTCCAAATGAAACTCTAGCCACTATTGTTGACCATGTGGTGGACCATGGCCTCAGCTTAAAGGAAGCTGGTCAGCGTGTCCGGCCAAACCTCAGCAGATATACAGTTGCTTACGTAATTCAGACTTTACAAAGGGAGCACACTTTCACCATACTGATGTCCACTTGTGTAATCCAGCACAGAACAGAACTACTTCCTGTAACAATCTACAAAAAGCTCATGTCCATGCCCATTTTTCTGTTGCCTTCAAAGTGCTGAGACGATCTGCTTGAAGGTGGGAGAGACCAAAAAAGCAAAAAAAAAAAAAAAAAAGCCCGTACACAAATTCCCTTTCAAGGTTTGGAATGGGACAGAAACACGTCCAAGTATGTATGAATAAGTTACCTTGTGTCACGAGTCATGTGCATGTATTGCATAAATTACATCTATTACATATTTTAATAGCACATTCTCCCTTTGACCCTTTATTACATGCAGAGAATATTTGAACTTGAGGCAGATGATGACTACATTGATTACAGTCCCTGGACAGTGCACTTACTATGACCTTACAATTTCTGATGTGTAAGTTTTATTCTAATTTTAACAGTATTTTCTCCATTTAGAGCATTCTTTCTGAATCTTGTATAGCTACTAATATGAATAATGTGCTAATATGACTTTACAGTTATATATATACACAGTATTCTACAAAAAAATGTTGGTGACTCCATATGCGTTTTAAATGTATTAATATACGTTTCAAAAGGGAGATGTGTGTGTGCGCGTGTGTGGACTGATGGCAGGATTCCAGTATGCTACGTCTATTAATGTAGTTGTCAACTTTAGTGTTGTTTAAGACAATTTAAGACATACAGTATGTGTGCAACGGCGGAGGGGGGAACAAAACTCATCAATTTAGTTAACAATGAGATGTAAAGTTCAAATTGCATAGGTATTAAATATGTAATAATTAATGACACAGGATTTATCTCCACAGAAATGTTCACAATTTAAGGCCAAATACAGTGTTGTTCGTTGTTCTTTCCACTAAAAGACATTTTGTGAATATTAAAATGACAACCATCTTCACCTGCCACATTCATCCAAGCAAAGAGATGAACATGACCACACCCATGAACTGTGTGAAGAGGATGAGTGGAGTGAAGAAGGACCACACCGGCCACAGCGCCATGTTAAAGCTGCAAGGGAAATAGAATAACACTTACAAGCGTGTTCCTGTTCGAATCAGTTGGGCAGTATTGATCTATCTCAAGGACAGACTTCAGATGTCAGAGATCCAATAGACAGCATTGACCTGGCATAACACATTAATGCACAAACTAACAAGGCAATCTCAATTCACATTTGATCATTTAAACCATTAATGAGCATGATTGCCCTACTCAGCCCTCATCAACCAGTGATAAAAATGAGCAAGTACTGCTAAACATATGCAGTGGTAAAGGTTCCACCTCACACTGCGTTAAGATAGAAACCACTCTTACCGCATCATTCTGTCTTGATCTTTAGATAAGATTAAATTAGATTGTTTATTAGCCACACGACAAATGCCTTTTTTTTTGTCGTTTGTCCTGTGGCTAATAAACAATCTAATATTGTTGTAAATCACTGATATACAGATGGATTTAAATAATATCTGAGTTTCCATGAGTAGGGAGCTTTGTTGATTGTACACATTAGACCAGCAAATCTAACTCTGTACCCTGTATCTTTTTTATGCCCCACATAACTAAGTGAAAGTGTTTGGCAAATAAGTGCACCATATCGTACCAAGAAGATTAGTTGAGGTTATTGAGTATTTCTGAAGTCAGGCTAGCCAATTGTGACGGCACCCACTAGTCACTCAAAGCGGACACGCCCATTATTAATGCATAACTTTAAGCCTTAATATAGTTTAAACAAATTAGTTATATAAAAATTCACCCACCTGTACAGATGTACGGGGAAATGCCGTTAAACTTCACACATTTTTTGGGAACATATTTTGACAAATAAAGGCAGGTCTCAATTAGACGCCTGGTCTGTTTTTTATAGTAGTTCTTTGGATGTATATTTGAAAACCCCACCAGGTCACATGCCTGAGCTGGTTAAGGTAGATTCTCCACATTTATACCGTTTAGTTCACTTTACGGAAATAATAAGCCCGAAGGTATAATTTATTCAGATTGGAATGGAATTTTTATGGCTGATACCAAGATTAATATTTGAGTTTAAAAAAGCTAAATTGTTTTTTTTATTTTCAAATGATTTTAATGAGAATTTCTTAAATTAACCAAGATATGTGCCAAGTGGGACATTTTACAGTCAGTGTTCTCTGGTGGAATAAACTATGAATTGGTGTCACTACCTAAAACATGTCTGTCATTTCTGTACTGCAATCTTTTGTTACTAATCAGACAACATGTGTTCATTTCATGTAGCCACAAAATTTTAAATTGTTAATTCAAGCAACAATGTGTCTTCATCTCTCCAAACTTTTACTAAATCCCCCTGTTTATGTGTTTTTATGAAATTGGAAGGATTAGAGCACATTAAGGTAGTTTGCAGTTTATGTATTTAGATTTACTTATTTTTTCTGTTACCTGCAAGATGCAGCGATAAAAGCTGCAGTTGTGATGGGAGGAATGGCAGGGTACTCCTGGTCGTAGTGCTGGATGCCTTTGAACCACTCCAGGTAGACAATGCAAAACATAGCCAGAGACAGGCAGATCCCGAGGAGCATCAGACCCACATTGAACCACCAACTGGAAAAATAGAGGTTGAAAAGATAACAATGTATTTAAGACATAAAGGCAATCTATTAGTTAGTTAGACTTTATTGTCCCTGCACTGAGATTCTTTTTCACAGCACTGTACATCACAGAGAATACACACACTGAAATACATGAAGTACAGCACAACAGCACATAAAAAAGGCAGTTAAAACAACACGAGAACAAGCCTTGTCGATTCCTCTAACGATTCACCCTGCTTAGGGATGCTATAGCTGCGGCTTTTGCGATAGTGAGCCCTCCTGCACCTCAGGGACCTGAACCCAGAGGGCAGTACAGTGAAGTGGCGACTGAGTGAGTGTGTGATGTCCTGTTCTATTTTATTTGCAGAGCGTGTGATCGCATGATGACCTTACAATTGAGCTCTGAGAAGTTGGCTGTCGGGAGACCTATAATCTGGGCAGCACTGTTGGTTATGCATGTGAGTTTGACACAGGGTGGGTTGAACAACGCTTTGGTACAAAGGTAGGAGGACATTGGGGACAACATGGCGTCCTTTATGTTTAGGGATAGTCTTTGATGGCGTCTTTTTTGAATGTCCTGTGTATGCAGGTTAAAAACTTTATTGAAAAAAAGTTTATTGACTAGTGTGAGGCCATGATATTTAAAATATCTATAAAGACTGAAATACAAAAGATAGTACTGTTAACAACAACACAAACAGCTTCCCAGTGGTATCAGATACCAGTGCTTTCATCGGTATCATATACACCATTGAAAAAGAAAACCAAAAGATGTTAAGTTTAGGGTGTTCTATGAGCTAAAGCCTATCGTAACAAAGAAAATAGGTGTACTGTGTGTATTGTAAACTCATAGGAACTAACAAAAAGCTGGCGTCCCATTACTGGATCCTGAAAACCAAGCCACAATGGAATAATGACTCATACTTCTCAAATGTTTTGCCTGCATTGTCGCAGATAAAACCTAGTGCCTCTATTTACTTTTAACCGATTATCATGGGGAATGGAAAATTAGAGAACAAGATCCACACGGCACTCTTTGAGTCTTCCTCATAGCTCGGTTACCTTTTGATTGCATCGTTCTCCATTATGTTACGGAGGAAATCCACATAGTAGGTCACACCGATAGACGCCACGATCCAGAAAATGGAGTGTCTGTTAATGCGAGGAAGAGGTTTAGCATCTTTTTCCTCCTGACCTGGAAGGTATCAGATGAGAGAAGAGTTTCAATACGTGAGTCTACTTCAAGATTGATTGATACAAATTGATTCATAGCAAGTTACACTTTCACAACTATTACTCAACAATTCACGTGCCCATAAAAGTTTGACTACAGTGTTTTACCATCAATTAAATATTTAGACATTTATCTTTACCATTCAACACTAACACTGACTCAACGACAATCCAAAACTCAAAGGCACTGAAAGGGTTACAATATGGTATAGAATTTACCACCAAATATGAGATTTGTCTTGCCTCAACAGAATGTCCCCACCTGTCAGGTTTAAGGAGCTTATGAGGTGAAACTGATATCTTTCTTTGAGATAATCCTAGTTCTCGGAGAGCTATTAATCTCTATAATTTACTGGTTGATTAAATGTATCAGAACCTGTTGCTGGCTGCTGAAGTGCTTCAGCGTGCTGGTCTACTCTCTGCAGAGTTCACAATGAACCCCATGCCCTAAACAAGTAGTTGGCATACAAGTTTAATCAAAGTTATGCTTAGTGGTCCATCTTGGACACAAGATACAGTATACCATGTCATCTTGCCAGAAGGACCACTGGTGGTATGTAAACTGGAATATACAGACAAATGTTTTGTCTGTTGCTTGTAGTACGGTTATCAGTTTACACTGGCAAATAGATGACCCTTGGATTGGGGAAAGTGTAGGAGTAGGGTTTCCCTGTATTACGTTGCTGAGCTGACACAGCGTTTGCTCACAGTCAAAACAATCAAGAATTGCTGGATTTCTTCCAGTGAGGGCCACAAAGTTGGACAATTGTCCACTGTACAAGCTGTACAGTAACCCTAACCCTCCTCCCCCCAAGGCTGAAAATGTTGCAACCACTTATTGCATATTTTACAACGTTATAAATCCGCTATAGTATTATGAAAGAAGAAAGTCGTTTGAAGAATATCTAACAAGTGAACTACAAACTGCACATTCAACAGACTTAACGATAAAAAGCTGGCCACATTTCGAACAAAAATGTTTGCTGGAGTTAGCCAGCAAGATGTTTTGATTATTTGACACTATGACAGAAGTATTTAACTTTACAATAAGGCTGTCAGGGCTATATAACACTGTTAACTTTACCTTCAGGTGTAAACGGCTCTGTCAGAAAACTAGTTTAAAATGGCGAATAAACTAACACAATGTGTCTGAAGCTTACTCTTTTCATCTTCGTCACCCGATGTCGTTGTTTGCATAAGAAACTCCGCATCTCTCTTAAATCTATTCCGCAACGTTGCAAGCTCACTGTCGTTAAGCATGTTGATGCTCGCAATAACTTACAGTAGCTCTAAAGGCTAACTGGTGATTAAAGAAGGCACTTCCTGTTATACACAGAATCGCTTTTTTATGACGCACTTGAAAGCGACAGTTGTAGTTTTTTTGTATAGAAATAACTGCGTCTATGGTTTAACACAGTGGCGGCGTAGCTGCAGAAATAAAAAAAGGTCCATCAGATAAACATACAATAAAAGTTTGAATCCATGGGTGCCTGGTGTGTTTTAGTTTTTGATGAATGCATTTAAAGACACTGTATATTAAATTTAGTTTAAATTATATGTATTATTGCTTAATGTATATTTTTTGTTTCGTTACCGGCGCTACTAAATAAATTAACCTAAACTGGCATGGCCCAGAAGGTCCATTTTGATTATAGAAAACAATGTTTGCATTTCCTCCATTTCCATGTATCAATAGGTTCCAAATTTGGCTAAGAGTAGCAGGTTAATCAATAGAAAACGTACACTGTAATCATTAGATCTATATTATATATATATATTAAGGACAGTGACATAATACCACATCAAACTTTTGCCAATAGGAAAATAGTATTACTGATTTTGGATCATTATCTATAGTATAGCCCACTCCACTACAGAAAAGCATGTCTGATACCATCAATTGATATAAATAAAATAGGTAGGTATAAACCAAGTCAAAGTGTTTACATCTTCCACAAAGACCATCTTGACACAAACAGCTTCAAACAAACCTGGACCTCATCTAGAAATAAAATATACCTTTAAAAGGATAACTGAGGAAGTAAAAAGTCTGACAGGGCACCTTTGATCCCAACCCTCACAAACTCTGCAGAATGCATAATAGCTGGCTGCATTCCAAAGTCTATCTTAAATGTATACCTTTACATGGCGCTGGCAAGAATCTGACCCTGCTGATTAAAAACCTTCAAGGAGGCACAGGCAGAGCACATGCAGTGGAAAAAAAGTGAATTAGAGTCTACTTTTTTGTTGGCTGCTACCATAGTTGCTACCACTTATTCTGCAGTCACAACTGTCTGCATTTGTCAATCTATTCTGCAGTTTATAAAGAAAGTACATCTAAAACGAATGCGATCTAATACAACAGTCCTGCAGTACATCTTACCACCATCAAGATCAAATGTCTCACATTATTGAATCCATGAGCATACCTTGGTCCCTTTGCAGCTGCACCAGGTAAGAGTGTTACTTCATTCTTACCAACAAAGAAATTTGAACACTTTACACCAATTCTCAAATCCTTTTGCAACATCTCCATTGGCTCCCAGTGTGTCAGAGAATTTATTTCAAAATACTGTTGCTCATCTATAAGTCACTAAATGGTTTAGGGCCAAAATACATCACTGAAATGTTTTTACACTTTGAACCCTCCAGACCAGTGGAGGATGAAATATTCAGATCCCACACTTAAGTTAAAGTACTAATACCTTACTGTAAAAAATACTCTGTTACAAGCCCAAATAATAGTGTGCGCGTAAATGATTAGTTTCTAATAAGCAGTTGGCACCTTAGCCATGTATGAATGTGACACGTAGCGTAAAGCGTTTTGACTGACTCGAAAGGCCCCGTATTACAGTCCTTTTGCCATTCATACGTTGCATTAGCCACTATAGCCTACACACGCTTATAGAGCAAGTAAAGGCTGTAACAGCAAAAGCAGCTTGAGTATTGCTTTAAGCAAGGGTGTGTCTTATTACTTTTAAAATTTTGGAAATTCTCATACATAATGTAATAGAGACAGAGATGGGTCATAAAGTCAAGCCAACTAGCTGCATAACATCAGTTAACAGCTATTTCTGCTGTACTAACTTTAACACTATAAGTTAATAGACAAACTGTAGGAGTAAAACTCCTGAGTCTAATTAAACAAGCAAGAATATGTTGCATTCATTTTTTTTGTGAGAGAAATATATATTTTATTTCTTTAATGACATTGTTCAGATAGCTGCTATAAGACCAAAGTTCAGGGCTGAAACAGCCCCATACAGAACATATGGCCACACAGTTAATCCTGCAATATCTAATGGCGGAAATAAAAAGTGGATCTGTCGTGTTCCAACCGCAAAGACAGACTTAGTTTCAGAGTATCCTGTGGGGTATGGATTAAAACAAAGCATTATGTAATATTGAGTCCCGCTGAGGACTAGAAAACACAATACTAGTAAATTTGAGTAACAGCTTGACTAATACCCAAAGTATGCAATATACAATTACAGGGAAGCAGTGTGATGAATGAGCATCAGTGTTAAACCTGCTGGGATTAGCAGAGCTTCATAAAGCTGGGCAGATTTCCTCCTGTAGCTCCTCCTGTGTGCGTGCACGGGGTAAAGAGGCTGCTCATTCTAGCGGTGAAAAATCAGACGGCATTAAAACTTCACCTGAGGCTGACACCAAGCGTCTTGCTTCTATGGAGCTTCTGTGTCCCTGGCCAAGTGAACCCCTTTCGGGGTGCCGAGGAATGTGCATTAGCTTCGTCCCGTGTGAGAGTCAAATTCACCTCAGGTGTACCTCTCCCATTTCCCTTCCCCCACTCTAAGATCCAATCCAACTGATAAGGTGCCAGTTCCCAGCCTTACCATGGGTTTGGGAATATGTAGGAGTAGTCAGCTATCACAATTGTCATTTTAAATATTAAATACAACACTGAGATGTTCTAAGGTCATTGGTAAAGGTCTTCCTCATGCTCAACAGGCCACTGAAATAAGTAAAACAACTGAACAGGAACAGGACGTGTAATTCAGTTATAAAATGATTTAATCTTCAAGATTATGTCATCTGTATAAAACATCGAAGGGAGGATGACAGACAACAATGGCTTTTAAATTGTAAAATTCTATGAACAACATACATTTCATGTCAGCTGGTGAGATAAGCATGTCTACTTTACAAGTCTAACTCTGTCTTTTAAGACTCTAAATTTGGGATTGTTGGTGATCTTCTTGTTGAAAAGTGCTAGCACTTCCTCCTCCTTTTTAAAATTTCCATCACCAGTGAAAGAGTAGTACGCTGCCAACACCTGGAAAAGAGGAACATATTAAACTTGAACTTCAAATAAGAACAACATAATGGGTTCAGATGTCACATGGGATGCTGTACAAAAAAAACTTTAGAGACTCACATCCACAGAGAAATGAAAACACTTCACGCCTCACCTTTTTCCTGAGTTTCTTTACTGACAGTTCCTGGTCAGGTGATTCTCTCAGTACAGCCTTGATATTTCCCTTCCAATTAAATTTCCCTGTAAGTTCATCAGAAACATCGGTTAGCTGCTAGTAGGGGGGATGTATTCAACAAGGGTCATTACCTCACTGTCAACAAAAGGAGCAACACTGACCCCTGGTGGCTTTATTCTTGTACACCTTTTTTCTTTTTTTATGAAAGATGACAAAGTCAGGTCAGGAGCCACATTACCTTTGGGAACTGCTTGATCCTCTGTCTCCTCTGACTCCTCTGCAGCTTGGTCAACTGAAACAAACAAGATAAAACAGTTATATATTAAGCCTAATACTAACACACGCAATTATACAATGAAATGAAAAGACTGGTTTCACAAGGAAAAACAAAAGGGAAACGTGAAATGAACAGCATACTTTCAAACACAAGGACACAAGAGCAGATTGCAATAAAATGGACATTCTGACTATTGGAGCACTTACACAAAATTTACCACCAATACATTATTTACATTTTTATCTACATTTTTTGGCCAAACAACTTCATTGTAAAGCTGACTATATAATACCATAAAGAGATAAGTATCCAGGAACAGATTGCAGGTACACATTTAGAAAAAGTCTTACTTGTCTTAATTTTCTTGCTGGATGTCTCATTTTCAGCAGAGTGCCCGTTCTGTTCTTCATCTCCGTCTTCTTCACAGCGGTTCTTTCTCTTTCTGCCCTTTTTTCCTGCCTGGTCGTCTTCTATGTCCTGTGCAACTGTCTTAACAGCCTTCCTGTCCTTCTGCTGACGGGCCTCTTTACGCTCCCGCTTGTTCAGTTTCTTCTTCTTAGCGTCTGGATGGCCATTCTGCTCTTCATTTCCATTAGTGTCTACTTTGACTTCAGCCGCTGTCTGTTTTGCTTCTTTAGTCTCCTGTGGGGCCTCAGGAGGCTGTCGGATTATGGGCGGGGAAAACATGGGGAACTTATTACTTGTGGTATAAAGAAGCATGCCATGTTTTCTCTTCATCTCATGACTATCAGAGCAGGACACCAGCCCTGTAAAACATTTCTGTACCTATTGAATTTACTTACTTTGAATTTTGAACTAAACTAACACCTTATCTGCTCTATGTTGACAGACAGTGGCTAATATGCACAGGGAAACAGTCAAACACAACAGTTCTGGTGATATTTAAGCAAAGTAACTTACATTGTCAGCTGCAGCGAGGATGTCCCACACTTCATCATGAAGACTTGTGTTAGCTATTTTAAGACTGTTTCTCATCCAGTTCTGACGGAAATGAAAAAATATATATATAGTTCATTCATGCAAGCCCACGGTGTCTCCCAGACTCAACAACAACACTATGAAGACAACTGTTCATTACATAAATGATTAATAAAACATAATAAAATTATTGCCACATATAAGATATGCCAACCTGAAACTTTGCCTTCTTTCTTGGGACGTTATCATACGAACTGACTTGTTGGAGCACATCCTTTAGCTTTGCACTGACTCCAGGTTTGTTCATGGCTTCATGGACTCTCTTCACGAGAGGAATCATCAAGTTAGAAACAAAAAATACCGCTTCTTTAAAGTGATGTGCATCGGTGCTCTGCATTTTACCTGGATCCACTGCTGCTGTTTCACGTCTCCTTTATTTGCCTTAGCCTCGTAGCCTTTGCCTCCATACTTCTGATCCTCGCTGATACATTTATTGTGGTTCTTGTAGTCGTTACCCCTGTTCAGCATGCACAGAGAAATACCGTTGCACACAAGCTGCACTGTGAGACTGGAGGCTAACGCTACGTGGTTATATCTAGCAAACAGGTTAAACAGAAAAGGAGACACATTACCAGAAGTCTTTTCCACAATCGATGCAGGACAGGACCTGGCACCCCCGGCACATATTCACGTGTTTATCAACCTGGGCTTTTTTCAGGGATTCACCACAGCCGTTGCAGGTGAAGAAGACCATCTTTAACGTTACTTTTGCTTGACTAAGCCGTAACGATAACTTTGATTTAACCGAATCTGCACACACAGACACCACTAACGGTACCAACGTATAGCTCAACCCGAATTTGGTACAATCCACATGCGAAAGCGGGATCCGACTTCCACAGCGGTGTCTGGTACAAGCTAACGTTAGCCAAAGCTAGCAAATATTAAAATAAAGCAATGGCTGGAGTAGACAGGGGTTATCAACGGGTATAAATGCGGCGAGTGCCGATGTTAAACTTGTTATACCGTCCAGCCGCCTGCTCCGTCCCAGTCGTGTAAACGTTTCAAAACACACGTGACCACGCCAACATATTTTAGCTACGTTAATAATCTTCCGTGTAACGTTAAAGATGTAACCGAAGGAAAGTTCCGGCCAGAGTGGAAAAGACTCTAAAACTAAACTTGTTTTGCATTCACTGGCAAAATGTGTTTAATGTCTTTGAGCGTGCGTAGTTTAGTTACACCAACTTGAAACGTTACAATATATATTACACTATCATTGCTTCTCTAAGTCTCAAAATAATCCTTCGTGTTTAGGCAGCGCGAAATCCGGGTTGTACCAGGAAGTGAGGTGACGTTGTTACACTCGACAAGTGACCCATCATCCAAATAAAAGGTGGACTCCTTTGGACTTATCTTTAGGACAAACCTTACTGAACAAACAATATTTAGGACTTAAATTCTGGGTTAAAATATCGTTCTTGAAGGATTTGGTGCTGCACTGATTCCCACCACTTACGTTGTGGCTGGTTAGCCTAGCTGTGTTGTTAGCTTGCTGTTAGCAGTTTTCGTCCAATTTTTGCATGGGTGGTCTCGCAGCACGGAAACACTGGATTCTGCGCAGTTGTTGAATTCCCTCTCTCTCTCTCTCCCTCTCTCTCTCTCTCTCTCTCTCTCTCTCTCTCTCTCTCTCTCTCTCTCTCTCTAATATTACAATGAGAAAAGTGTTGCCAGCACTCGCTTGCATCACTTTCAATCCGGTTGCATTTCAAGGACTGACTAAACAGATGAGTGATTAATATCTTCTTAATATTTGTTTTTGACATGTGTCTCCATGGTTAGCTCTTTTGATGGAGAAGTTGGAGCTGAGTTTTTCAGCTGCTGAGTGACGATGGACACCCTGTCCAACCACAGCTCTTACCTCCTGCAGCAGCTCCAGGAGCAGAGGATTCAGGGTCTGCTCTGTGACTGCATGCTGGTGGTCAAAGGTGTCTGCTTCAAAGCCCACAAAAATGTCCTGGCTGCTTTCAGTTCCTATTTCAGGTGCCTTTATGTCTATATATTTAATGGAGTGACACACCAGTCAATCAGTGGTGTATTTCCATCATTATTACTTGGCTAAATAATCATACTCTGCTGTTTTACGGTAACATAATGTGAAAAGTCCTGCTTTGATCTTTTCAGGTCTTTATTCCAAAATTCCCCCAGTCAGAAGAATGAGGTGTTCAACTTGGTCATCCAGGATGTCAGTGGCATCGGCCAAATATTGGACTACATGTACACCTCTCATCTTGACATCAACCAAGATAATGTTCAAGCACTCCTGGACATTGCTCAGTGTTTGCAGGTTCCAAATGTTCAGAGCATGTGCAATGCTTTCCTCAAGCCTTGCCCTCCACCAGTGGAAATCCCATCATTTTCTCTTCCGGGCATGTTGAGCTCTGAGCACGACTGCCTCTTGGGGAGCAGTCTTCCTCATGATGTTGACCTCCACTGTCCCTCTGAAACCCAGAGGCCTGGCTTCGGCAGTGACATGGACCACAGCAAAAGGATGCCTGTGTCTGTGCCTAACAGCAGCACACACTGTGAGACAGCCAGCAGCACTCAGGCACCCGTTGAAAAACAGCTCGTCCATGGTTACAAGCTCCGAAACTTCTACAGCAAGCAGTACTTCAAACAAAGTGCAATTCAGACTAATAGTGCAGCCTCAAACCAAGGCCCAGGCCCTTTGGTGCTGGTGGAAGAGCAGCAGAGCCAGCTCAGGGTCTGCCAGGGAGGGAGCCAGACTCCTGTATGCTCAGGAAACACAGCTCAGCCCAATCCTCCCTGCACATCTGTGGCAGCTGAAAATAATCCTGTCTCATCTTTAACACCCTCAGATAATTTAAACACCCCCAACTCTAACTCCACAGACTCCATGCTCAACAAGCCAGTGCGCCCAAAGAAGGCTGTGTACCTGAAGAAATACAACTACCTCCGGTCTCAGAAGGCTTTGGAGGAGATGTATGCTGAATCAGTCAGTGACCCCGTCCTCAGCTGCCCCAAAGAGACTTCTCAAGAAGAGTCTGTGGTCCATACTGAAGCTGCAGAAGCTCCTGTTGAGCACCTTAATGCCAACAGGGAGCAGGTCACAGAGACGGCAACAGATGCGCAACCTCCCAGTCCTCCACCTGTGGGCCAAGAAGAGCAAAATCATAACACTGTGCCAGAGCCACCGCAGCAGATAGGACACAAGCAGTATTGTTGTGAGGTGTGCGGGAAGATATTCAAGCACCCAAGCAACCTAGAGCTGCACAAGCGCTCACATACTGGTATTTACTGTTTTATAATAGCCTTACAATAGTTTTAGTAATCAGTGTGATTTAATTAGAAAATTATTTTCAGACACAAACCAAAATTCTTTTTTTGCAGGTGAGAAGCCCTTTCAGTGTAATGTTTGTGGGAGAAACTTCTCACAGGTATGTTGGTGTGTTATTTCTGTTTTGCCACAGTTACTCTTAGATAGGGAAATGAGAGATATCTAAACTGATTCTGCTTTACAGGCTGGAAATTTACAGACACATTTACGGCGACATTCTGGAGAGAAACCGTACATCTGTGAGTTATGTGGTAAAAGGTACAGTAACTTCCATGTATCCATTTTCCTCATTTAAATTTCCATGTTTTGTCTTTCCTCTTTCCTCTGTATATGTCTTTTTTTCAATGCTGCTGTATTATATGTTTGTGTGTCTGCCTTTACTAATAGCTTGATAATTTCCAAAGCTTAGCAATATACCATGATTTCAGGTATACCAATAATAATTGTGCATTTTTATAATATGTCTTTTATTGAGACCATAATAAGTAATCTGTGACGATGACTGACTAACTGGATCCGAATAGACTATATCTCAGTTTAGGCCCCAGCAATCTGATGTTTTCCCTATATTACACAGCCTTAATAGTCTTGACTGTTGCATATAATGTAAATATTAATCTGTGATTTAATCATTTCCAGCTTTACTGCATCAGGGGATGTCCATCGTCACAAAGTGGTCCACACGGGAGAGAAGCCACACCTGTGTGATATATGTGGTCGAGGTAAATGACTGCTCTAAACAGAAGCAATTTTCTCAATTACTTACTTAATCTATCTATATTTAGTTCTTACCTAATGGTCTCACTCTCATGGGTTGCACCTTTAAAAACGATTGATGGTGGCATGAGCTGCTTAGTTTGCAGACACAGCTGTAAAATGCTGACACATGGTTGTGAGACTGGTATCTCATTCACTGTACTTGTCTTCTTTCTCAGGTTTTAACAATCTGAGTAATCTAAAGGAGCACAAGAGGACTCATGCCACAGACAAGACATTCACATGTGACCAGTGTGGGAAATCCTTCAACACGCACAGAAAGCTTCTGAAGCACAAGGCCCGCCACGTCGGGGAAAAACCACACAGCTGTGCCACCTGTGGTGAGGAGTTGTTGAAAGTATTATTCTAATCGATTTTGTATAAAACACTTTCCCAGGGCGAAAACAGTTAAAGGGGTCGACAGGAAATGAATCAGCATATATTTCGATAATCGATTCTCAGCTTTAGTAATTTTTTGATTGTTTCAGCTTCTCAGTTGCAAAAAGTGCATATCTTCAGGTTCTGGACTTTTGGTCAGACAAAACAAGCAAATTGATGACATCACCTTTCCTGAATTATGATTGGCATTTGTACTATTTTTGGACATTTTATAGAAAGATGATTAATCCAAAAAATAATCAGCATATTTACATACATACATCCATTGATAATGGAAATAATAGTACAAATTATAGCTGCAGTGCAACACTGTTCAAAAAAAAAAAATCACATTTCAATTATAGAAATCCAGCCTGGTGCAGTTGCTGTGGTTAAACCCATGCTGATCCTGTCTCTACTGTGATTTTTTGGTGGTCACACCATATGAGCAAACTTTTACTGCTATTTGTCTTTGGTTTATTTTTTTCTGCTTGGCTTTCCAAGCCTAAGAAGTATTTGTAACTGCCGCTGACTGTTTGATGTCAGTATCCATTTCCTGCTGGACAGTCAATAATGATTTTGACTCTTAATGAATTAGTATCACAGGAAAGGCCCAAATTAACAAAACTAAAAGCATTCAAATGCTTGAATGATATTGTGAACCCTGGTAGTTTTTCTTCAAAAAATGCCTGCACTGTGTTTCACTCTATATATGTTCTTAATTGATGCAGGGAAGTGCTTCATCGGCTCAGGGGACCTGCAGCGTCACATACGGTCACACACTGGTGAGAAACCCTACATCTGCAACACCTGTGGAAAGAGCTTCACCCGCTCTGCCATGTTGAGGAGACACAGCAACATGCACTGCAAGGGGGCTCCAGCTGACAGCCCAGTCACCGACAGCTCGGACCCACCTCGTAGCTCGGATGATGTGGCCTCGTTCCCCAAACCGGTCAGCCACAGTAAACCTCCTGCTGCAGCCAGTGAGCCGCATTTCCCCAACATCATGCCTCATGCAGGCACCTCACCGCCTACTCCTTCACCACCACAACCAGCACCACATGTGGAGACTCCACCTCCCAGCATTCACCTCAGCCCAGCTTCTACCCCCGCCCCTCTTCCAGAGCTGCGCTCGCTGGTACCGCAACACCTCCTCTCCTCCAATCACCAGGAGAGAAGTACAGCCCTGACTGTCACAGATCACATGAAGTTGGCCAAACCCCACCTGACTCAGGAGGCTGTGTATGGTCCATATGTGGAGAATGGGAATATGTCAGTGGAGATGGGCAGAGGTCTGGCAGGGAGGCCCTACCTGCCTCCCACAGACAATCACTGCAGCCCCCTTACTACTCCTAGCAGACCCAATAGTGGGTCCTACAGGTCTAGTGAAGGCCAGTTTATCTCCAGTGTAACTCTTTGGGGCCTGGCAATGAAAACTCTGCAGAATGATAATGACATGGAGCAGTAAAATGTTGCAGCTTTGTCAGATAAGCACAGCATAGCCAGTTAAAAAGGGCACATTTCACTGTTGTTTATTTGATAGGTTAAAAGTGATTTGTAACACAAAAATGGTAGCTCCTATGATGAGGAAAACATGAAAATAAAATTGATGAATATATTAATCTCTTATTCATAACTGAAAATCTTTTATTTATGTGTTCGACGTTCTTAAAATCAAAGTAAATGCTTCCTATTTTTTCTTAAATAAAAAAAACACGACTACTTTTAGTCACTAAAGAGATGAAAAATGCTGTTGCGCTGCTCTACTACTACTACTACTTCCAAGGGTGTGGCCTGAAGTGTTTATTTATTTATATATATATATATATATATATATATATATATATATATATATATATATATATATGATACTGCTCAAAAAAATAAAGGGAACACTTAAACAACACAATGTAACTCCAAGTCAATCACACTCCTGTGAAATCAAACTGTCCACTTAAGAAGCAACACTGATTGACAATCAGTTTCACATGCTGTTGTGCAAATGGAATAGACAACAGGTGGAAATTATAGGCAATTAGCAAGACACCTCCAATAAAGGAGTGGTTCTGCAGGTGGTGACCACAGACCACTTCTCAGTTCCTATGCTTCCTGGCTGATGTTTTGGTCACTTTTGAATGCTGGCGGTGCTTTCACTCTAGTGGTAGTATGAGACGGAGTCTACAAACCACAGAAGTGGCTCAGGTAGTGCAGCTCATCCAGGATGGATTAATTACACTCTTTCACTTTGTATATACTGCACTGCACTTTAAAAATGTACAAATGCAGACCTATTTTCAACTATCAGTGTCAAATGTTAATGTACTATATTCATATAATAATAAAAGATTTACATCCTATTTAACATGTCACTGTTTATTTAATGAAATTATTTCCCATGTGTTCACAATATATGCATAATGATAGTTTAATTGTCCAAAATATTTAAAACCCAGTATTTGACACATTAAAACAAATCTCTCCCAAAAGTGATTAATCTGCAGCAGCGTTAAAGTGTGTCTTGAGGCCACGAGGGGTGCAATAGGATGAGGAATTTACATCCGCAAGTTTGTTAAAACAAAAAGGCTTCTCTGAGTAATTGAATCAATGAACTGTAAAGTGTTGTGCTGTTGAACAGACTACAGAGGGAGCAAGACACTACAGTTCAGAATGGAAAGTGTGAAGAAAGCACACCAGCCGAGATGTGGGAATACCTCAACGCAGATAATTCATCCCTTGCAGAACACAGACAGCAGCCACTGAATAAATCTATTGCAAATAGATAGTGGCATGTTATGTAATGTTTGTCCACTCTGAACAGTTGCCTGAAGGTATGAGCATTATTACAGCATGGATTTGTGTTTTATGGAGGAGAGTCTGTTGTATGTTGTCAAACACTAAGCAGCATCATTGCAGTATGAGACTTGTAAACAGTATTCTGAGCAAACAGGATTCACTACAAGACAGGCAGCTGATAATTGGCCGTCATTGTCACAACATGCAGGCCCCATTAGTCCATGCCTGCTGGATTAGTTGCCTAGCAACACACAGGATAACTCTGTTATCGTGGTGTTCATTCTCCTTCATTGCTCTTTACATCAGTTGTTCAACCACTGATGGACAAGAGACAGGGACTCTGGGTAGGAAAGTGTACTGACCATAATGCTTAGCACCTCAAGAAGAGTGTGTGTGTGTGTGTGTGTGTGTGTGTGTGTTCACACCACAGTGAGAAATTAGTCAAATCCCAGTGAGTTTGAGCATGTTCTCACTTTACAGCAGATACCGAAGTGTGAGAGCGTGAAGACATTTTAACCCTTCTTTCCTTCACAACTTGGGTGCAGAAACACCGTGTCGAAAATGTACTGATCATCATCCGGCATCAGTAACAACCCTGCTCCTGAAGATATGCAGTCTTCATCATAGCCCAAGCCACTTCACACACATCCACTGTGACAGCTGATGCAAGGGAAAATGCCCAACTATCCAGCAAGTGCTCTTGTTACGAGTAGGCTTGTTGGAGCAGTAGAGACTCAGTAATTTATTAAATCATTTTCAACACTGGGAGACAGATTAAAAAATTATCAAAATCAAAGCAGCTGAGGCAGAGATATTCAGGGATCCTGCTTATCAAATGGGTGTCTGTGGCCTAATTTGTGTCAATGTGCACTTTGTGTAAGTATATTATCCTTATATACGTTTTTCTAAGACATTAAAAAGCTTTGTTTTTTTATGAGATTGTGCAGTACTCCCATGACAGTGGAGTGCCCTGATAATGATGACCTCAACAACAGTTATTCAGTAAACAAAAAACTTACATTACATTTATTTGACGCTATTATCCAAAGCGACTTCTGCAGCAGATTAAAATAACCAACTTGAACGCTTATCACGGCATACAGACATTATGTAGTATTCAGATATCTGTTAACTTAAGCTTGATATTCATTTGATGAGTTTGTTAGGACTAACACAATGCTTCTTGTGCAAACATTACAAACAAACATCCGTCACCAGGATGAGTGACTTTGAGAGTGAATCTGTCTTCCTATGAGCCTCTCTTTTCAAGCCCCCCCCACCAATCATGCTAAAGTTAATCCTGATTATGTACGCTGTCTAACTGGTGCAGAATGAGACCATGGCTAATGCCATTTTACCCAGAAACATTTCCAACGCTCGTCTTTTGTTTTGGTATCTAATCACCTTTCATTGCTTTGTGCTGTCAAAGGCATACGAGGATAGGTTTAATTAACAAGTGAGCGTGAAATGTATGAATCCATCCAAACGTGGTTGAATGAGACATTTCTCTGCAGAGAATGAGCAAAGCACATTCAGGCCAAAAATGTCATGTTTGATGTGCATCTTTGACACAGACAGCTTTTATTTTTTTCATTGCACAAGATGATTTTTGTTCTATCAAGACTCCCCCTCCCTTATCACTTCCATGACTAACAATACAAAAACTCTCCATCACTGTTGGAATGTAAGGGGTGTTTGGGGGGGCATCCACCTCATCCTCAACACAGTATTCATTATTATTGCACTTGAAACTGCTTCTGCACCAGAGGATGTGCTCTGGCAGTGATTCCAGCTGAGCAGTAATTGCTGTGGAGTTGCGGCGTGTTGCATTGTTGAATGAGATGGATAAGTGGCTGACCTAGTCTCAGCGCTACAATTCCTCTGTGTGTAGCAATATGAAAGAGGCTTAAGCAGAGGAGAAGAATGGTGATTCTTTCTGCTTCTCTGCTGTCTCTCTCTATCTACTGTTTCTTACTGCTTCCCCCTTTTACTCAGATGGTACACACTTTGCTCTGTTGAGATTTGCTCAGAGGGTGCCATTCATGCAACACATAACTAAACGGGTGTTATGCAGTTAGGTGTTTTAATACCCTTGTGACATGGGGCTTGCAGCTAAAATACAAGCATCTCCTGCAAAAGTGAAATGTGAATATGCACACAGAGTAATATCCTGCATCTTTCTCCGTGCTCATTATCTACTGCTCTACTTCCTATCATCTATCTTTTCAACAAACACATACATACACACGCTGGCCTTTAGCTACTGAACCCAGGTGTGTTGCTCTCTGGTAGTACACTTTCAGTTTCTTGAGATGCGTTTAGACACCTGTCAGCGCCTGTGAGGGGTTATTCTCTGTTTCCCCCTCGAGCAAGAAAATGAGGTCGTTTCAGCACATACACATACAGTAAAGCTTGGCACAGGTAGGAAACAGGATGTTGGTTTTGCTGCCAAAAAGGTGGCTGGCTATCCACATTTATGGTGCAAGTTGTATTTTGAAGCTCTACTCCAAATACAGTATTACAGTAAGGAAGTGAGGGAAAGTTAAGGAATGATTGGATACATCTGGGTTGCCTTCAGGTGCTTTGTGTCTATTTGTAGAGTCTTATTTCACAGCACGCTTTAAAATGTGGCAGCAGCGGCTCTTCACTGTGGGTGTGTTGTTGATAGGGACTTGAACTTCAAACAGTCAAATTGACATGACTCTCTCAAATGAGTGTTTTTTTTATTATTTTTTTCTTTTGGATAAATGTGGCTTGCTTGGTGTGTTTTTGTTTTGTCAGTCTGTTTGTGTTTCTCCCTCTCTCTCTCTCTCTCTCTGGTAGCTGTGGGCATTACCTCAGACTCTCCTTGTTCAGTGCCTTCCCTCATCTGTCTGAGATCTGCAGTCTGCAAGCCAATCAGCTTCTCTTCTTAAACCCAGGCCTCACATCCAGTCCCCACTAGACCACTAAGTCGTATACAGTATGTCTAGTGAGGCATACGAGCTAGAAAATTTCCCATTGTTTGCTTGCCAGCCACCCTAACCTTTGTCTCTGTCTTTGGATTCATCTGCAACCTGTTTTCAATCTCAACCTAGCTAGCTTGCCAGCCAGCTTAGGCTACTCTGCCTCTACACTACAGGGATCACTAACAAATCCCAGCTCCACTCTCCAGCCCGCAAGACTCGCCAGCCCACTCCAACAGCACTGCTCTGGATTTTCCTCACAACTCAAGCCCTTCCCTGCTCTGTGTTTATTAATCAGTTTAAACTGAACTGCCTGTCTCCAGTCTGCTTCTGAGTTCAAGCCTCAAATCCTGACACAGGCAGGGCAAAGAGTCAAAGACATAAAATGAGCATGAAGCAGAATAGGAACTAATAAATGAATTAAAGTTGGTAAGAGACCATTAACCTTCAAGGAACAGTATGAGATTTTCGAAATTATGCTCATTTGCTCTCTTGTCGAGCGTTGAGATGCCACATGTTTCTATGTTAAGTATGGAGCTATAGCCAGGAGACGTTTAGCATAGCTCAGCACAAAGACTGGGAACAAACAGACTTAAATATGCAATGTATAAGTTTTGGCCTGAATTTTAGTTTACAAAATAAACTCACAAAATGTCAAGAAAAGAAATATTCTCTACGTCTTTTCCTATTCACCAAACTCATTGCCTTACCTCATCGTAAAACCCTCTCATCTGATTCAATTTAAATCCTATGTCTTTAAAACAATAAATTTTAAAGGAGCAGTAGAAATGGGAATACATGGGAAATTCTTGCTTACAAGGTATGTAACTAAACAAAAAACAACATAATCATCCTCTTACAAATGAACTGTTTTAATTATAAGC